CGGTGCAAATATAGGATATTTTGAAAATAAATAATCTACTCAGTCAACTCAGTCATGGTTATGACCCTCGTTCCACTATGCATTAACCACCGACTCTTATTTTCGTATAATTTTCTACAGGTCTCTACAAGCTATAGCGAGTACAACAAGAAAAAATAATGAAAATCAGTTAACAACTAGGCTTGATACTAGCGCTAAATAAAGTACGGACTATTTTCAACTGCACTTCAGATGAAAAAAAATCATAGTTCAGTCTATTAAGTAAATCAGTATTCACGGCTTAAAGTTATTCTTTCCGTCGTTTCACGGTTAACGGTTCTCCCATTGCAGGGACGTCCATGTTTTTGGGGCTCCATAATCCGATGGGGTAGCATGGTTTCGTAGACATAAATATATTAACAATAGATATTTGCAAACTTGTTAAGAAATGCCGCCCTACACCGTTTGGTACACTTTTCAGCCTCTACATGGGTTTCCTGTTGTAAGAAAAATGCGTAAGGAGTTGGTTTCCCTGTGTTCCCCTGCTGTGTCCTTACAACCCTCACAACCTTCTCACAACTTCGTCCCCAGGGTGAGATCTCCCCGACGACCGACCGACGACCGCCATCTTGGGGTCGGCCGAGATGGCCCTGGGGACGAGATTGGCCTCAGCCATTGTCCGCCATCTTTGATTTCATATGGCAGTGGGATTACTATGATGTTGATTACAGTGTAGTACTAGTATTTGAACCAGGTTCATTACTACTATATTTTGATCGGATTTGTTGTATATACAGTCAAAAAGAAGAATATGTCCAGAAAAGATATTTAGATAGCGAAGAAGGCAAATAAACAGAGCAATACTTCGCGACAGTAAACAGGATAGAGAGGATATTGAAAGACGAAAATGTTCATCTGAATCGAAACGATGGAGACCACCCTTACCTTTGAAAACGAGAGCGACCCATTGTACCTAATCCGTCATTTGTGGGTTTGTGATGGAGCAAGGACTAAGAGATACGGTCTGAAGTCAGGAAAATGGTCCAAAAAAGAAGAGAAAATCCTCAAAGAAAATCTCGAAAGATACTTAGAATGTCACAACATTGAAGACCCAAGGAAGCTTATCTTTGCCCGTCATCAGGCAGCTGAAAAAAGAAAGTGGAAAGAGTTAGTTAAAGTAACCGGATTGTATAAAGAACTTGCAAAAGGCTTAAACAGGACTTTGCTCAGTGTTTATAGAAAAGCCCTTCGCACATTTGATGAAAACAACTACGTTGGAAAGTACTCAGAAGCCGAAGACAGAGATTTACTAAAACTTGTAGCATTGCATGGGAGAAAGTGGACCATAATAGGAGGAATTATGGGTCGAAGTAATCTCTCTGTGCAACACAGATATGAATATATTAGAGACAAGCCTAACCATGGTCCCTGGAGTGAAGAAGAGACGAACCTTCTCAAGCAAGCTGTCAGAAAATTAACTAAAACCAAACAGGGGGATGAAGTTTATGAGGGAATTTGCTGGACTTCAGTGGCATCTATCGTTAAAACAAGAAATAATAATATGTGTAGAGAAAAGTGGCTTGAACGTCTTTGTTGGAAAGATTGTAGTCTTAACAATGTTGTCTCTAAGAAATGGAGTTCCAAAAACGATGTTGATTTGATCACCAGAATCTATGAAAGTAAAGCTACTGATGAGACAGACATCGACTGGGCATCTTTATGTGAAGAGTTTGAGATGGCACGGTCACCCGCTTGGTTAACACAGAAGTTTACGACAGTCAAGAGAAAATACTGCCAGAGTGTTGACTTGCAAAACACAGATTTTGAAGAACTTATTGGTTATTTGTATAACGTTGTAGCCACAGATTTGCAAAACAAAATTCTTTTGAACAGCTCTGACAGCTAACCAATATTTTCCCTCTTCATACTGTATGGCCCCTTTTTTACCATCAAGCAACAATAAGAAAGCACTTGTAAATAAATACCATTAAATATTAACACATGCATATATACAGNCCTTATCTTCGAACTCAACTGCGGCGATCCCCTGAAAAATATAAGAGGGCGTGGCACTCACGTGCTTGTATACTGTCTTTTTCTTAGATTACGTGGCAAGGTCAAGAATTACAACCTTATCGTAGCCTCGTATGATATTGTAAGAAATGATAGCGACTTCTTTAGGTAAGTAAAAAAGGGTTTTTTTTTTTGGCCAACCTCGTCACCAGTGTATTTTCAAACTTCTAAAGTTTTGAAGCCTGGGAATGAGGCTACATTTTCAATACTGAGTCAGATTCACATTCTTGTTTGTTGATTGTGTTTCAGATCTATAAAATGGAACTATTGTATTCTAGATGAAGGACATATTATAAAGAATGGTAAAACTAAGGTAATAGTGGGTGAGATTAAAATATTTCTGAAAGTAAGAGTCGTTGTGTACGATAAGTTGTTTAAAGCAAATCTCTATTTTTTCGACTATTTGGAAAAGCCTTTTTAAGCACATATGGTAAGCAATTTCGTTCAAGTTAACCTGTGTCCCATATTTTTTCCCTTTTTTGTGCCTCAATCGTTGATTTATCATTCACTGACATTTACACAGCTCTCTAAAGTAATAAAACAGCTTCAAGCAACTAATAGGATTATACTCAGTGGAACTCCYATACAAGTAAGTCAATTAACTAGGCATTGTAATGAAACGACGTCCACTTGTGCTCTGATTTGAATGCRAARTTTCTGGATCCGTKTATTATGCACGCTGATTTGTGTTTCTCTGTGTCAGAATAACGTACTTGAGTTGTGGTCATTGTTTGATTTCTTGATGCCTGGGTTCTTGGGGACGGAGAAGCAGTTTCAGGCACGGTATGGTAAACCAATCCTACAAAGTCGTGATGCTAAGTCTTCATCCAAGGAACAAGAAGCAGGTTTGTTGGATAAGATARTTGAAAAAGTAGTAGTTATAATGAAGCGACGGCTAAAGAATGAGTAAAAACTTTTAAAACTCGATGCATAGGTGAGATGTTTCCTTCCTTCCCCCCTTAATCCCCCCCCTCCCGCCTCTCCCTCCTTCTTTTCTATCTTTTCTCACTCCCTTCTCCCTTCCTTCCCTCCCTCCTTCCCTTCCTTTCATTTCTCTCTCTCCTTCCAACCTTTACTCTCTCCTTCCTTCCTTTCCCCTTTCCTCCTTCTTTCCCTCTTYCTTCGTTCGTTCCTCCTTCCTTCATACCTCCTTCCTCCCTTAAGCAATGACAATGAAAGCGAGTTGATAAAAGATTTAGCATGTATTAGATAATATAACTACGGCAATCATTTACCATGTCATCATATAACATTTCATAATGCTGGACAGGATTAAACCCAATACGTGAAGTCTTTAACACACAGTCACGCCAGATAACATATAACATTGTTCTTGTTTTGCTCATTAGGAGCCCTGGCAATGGAGGCTCTTCATCGTCAAGTCTTGCCTTTCCTCCTTAGACGTCTCAAGGAAGATGTCTTACAGGATCTACCACCTAAAATAATACAGGATTACTACTGTGATCTTAGTTCTTTGCAGGTTTGCTTCTCACACTTTCACCGTACTTCATTTAAGACTAGTCATCTCTATTGTTCCCTGCGCCATCTTGAATTACATCGGAGCGAGATGACCRTTGAGCGTGCAATGATAGATACCTGTGAATGATACTACATTTTACAGTTGAAACGAGTTACGAATTAAAACGAGACGATCGTTGAGCGTTTTTTACTTAACCCATTTGCATTGCGAATG